TGTGTTTTAAAACACAAACAAAAATGCATCCTAGGTAGTTTTCAACAGCTGGATTAAAAGAAAAAGAGGTTTCTGCCATTACTTTAAATCAGAAAATTCAAGGAATCAAAACTCTTATTTCCTGAATACTCCAATTAAACAGGTGTTTCTACGTTTGTATTGTGGACATTGACCAGAAAAATTTTAACTGATAATTTCACTTGGAAAAATAATAAGGCAATGAAAAATTTCTCCAGTGTCTATTTTAATAGTCTTACAGGTATGACAGAGGTTGTGATAAATGTTTGAAGCGAATATCCCACATTATAAACAGTATTGATGCTAGTATGTGGTTGGGTGGCCCTTCAAAACAACTCTGCAATCATTTGATTATTCTCACTGCATTTATATGTTTAAAAAATGTATACCTTTTAAGAAATAGAAGATGAGGCAGTACTGTGCTCTGCTCTGAAACTGGTACAGATGATGCTGTAAATGAGACTGTAATTTACTTTCAGTGGTATAAAGGAAAAAAAATCACTTTGCCTAAAGTGTATGCATCTTTCTTAAGGGTGTACCCAGATTTTAATTATCTAAATGTAAATACTTAACGAATTTTACTTAGAGTAATGAGCTAAAGTGCACACTACATAAATGAGATGTTCTAATTAATCATGTATGAACTACTGGTTTAAAGAAAAGCTATGTGAATTCTGTGAATGTTGGGCTATTGCCAAATTGCTAATCAGCATTTGCATTCATAGATGAGTTCGCTTAATAAGTTGTGAGACGTTCAGCAAATGTTTTAGGAAATTATGAGTTTTTAGATGCAGAAACTTTTTGCTTTTAACCCTTTTTTTTCTACATCCTTCCTAGAAACCATAGGCAAACATTCTTTCTGGAGAGATTAAAATGCAGCCAGAGAAAAACTTAAGAGAGCTAACATCTCAGGTATCATTCACACAGGAGTTTTGAATTATTTATCAGGACATACACCCTATCAAAGATATATGTTACCATAATGTGTGAGCTAGGTTTTTAGGAATTTGCAATGTTATGTGTGCAAATTCAAATGCTTCCATAGTCCCAATACAATGGTTCTCAGACTTTTTGTCTTAAAACCTAGACTCTTAAAAGTTATTAGAGACCCCTAAGAGCTTTTATTTGGTGGATTGTATGTCAACATTTATTATAAGAGAAATTAAAACTGAGAAAAATTAAAAGTATTTATTAATTAATCTTAAAATAATAATAAATCATTATGTTAACCTAAATAACATTTTTGTAAAAACCTGTATTTCCCCCCCAAAAACTCAGCATCTATTGAGAATAATGACATTGTTTTTACATTCTTGCCAAACTCTTTAATGTTGGGCTCAATAGAAGTCACCTGGATCTTACACGTGCTTCTGCAGTCAGTCTGCTATAATGTGGCTGAAGTATACAAAGAGCATCTGGATCTGACCTCGCACAAATATGGCACTGGAAAAGGCAGGATTATATGCTAATAGCCTTTTCAGGTAGCTGTGGACTTTCTTCTTTGATATTACACCAAAACTTGACAAGTTGTAATTCCTTAAAGGTTAGTTATAATGCGGAGTTTGAAACCATATCGATCAATTCTTTGTACTCTGTTTCTTTAAAATCCATTGGTCTAATATGCAGTTCGAATGGATCTTCTACCTGTGCATGTTTTTGTAACATCATGCATTGATCATTTGGAAAATACTGGTTCACTGAGTTACGTACATCTTCCAGTGTTGACACATTTCATTTTATAATACCAAAATATAGTTATTAGTATCAACGCCAAGCTAATCAGAAAGTCGACTGGGAAACTGGGAAACTCACAATGGTGGATGCAAATTTTCCAAAATTCTAATTTTCACTTGAAAACTCAAATTTTGTTATGATACACACTACTTATGTCAGCTCTTTTGCTTGACAGGCACACTTCGTTTTTGAGAGGACATCTGCCAAATACCCAAGTCTGAATAATTATAATTTGGTCGTTTTGCTTTAAAAAAAAAATGGCATTCCATGAAAAAAGCAGCTTTAGCTCACAACTTAAACAGTCACACAAGTGCTTTTTCTCAAGATAACTATCCGTTGATATGCAGTAGAAGTGCTTTTTGTTTGTTTCCCGTTTTGTCACAGGGAATATTACAGACGTAGTAAAGGCTTGAGATGTAATAAAACGAATAATTTCTCTTGCTTCACCAAGGACATTCGTAAATGAAACTGTCTTTTTGTGTGTGTTTGTGTGAACGCATGGTGGGGAAGAATTAAAAAAGAAACATCAAAGATTACTCAGTATGCGGTTTCTAAAGAGTTTTCTTAGAACATGGGTCCCCAAGATGCCATAGAGCTGTGCTGTCCAGTCTGGTTGCCACTAGCCATGGGTAGTTGTTGAGACTTGAAATCTGGCTAGTTTGAATTGAGATGTGCTGTCAATGTACTGGATTAGAAAGTGTACCCCAGAAAATAATGTAACATACTTCATTAACCGTGTTTTAAAAATATTAATTATGTGTTGAAATGTTAATAGTTTTCATATAGTGGGTTAAATAAAATATATTTTTAAAATTAATTTCACCTGATTCTTTTTATTTTTTTAATGTGGCTACTGGAGTTTTTTTTTTTTTTTTTTTAATTTCATATGTGGCTTGCAGTGTATCTCTTTTGGACAGCACTACTCTAGAGAAAAGAGATTTTTGTGTCCAAATTTGTTTGGGAAAAGTTGGCTATCCCATTCCCCCTTAAAGATTTATTCTGCATATTGCCATATCAGTGTCGAGGAGTCTTGCAAAAACAAGCAAACAAAAATCTTTAAAATTTTTGGTTAACTCAGCATTTTCCAAAATACTGTATTTTTGGACCATGTATTAACATTCTCTAGAACTAGCTATAGAAGAACATACTTTCTGATCCCAGTGTGGGGACATGGTGCTAGTCTAATTTTCTTCATTTTATTGTGAGAAAACAGAGGGCAAGAGTTCGTCAAATTATAGAATTTTTAAATTATATGAACATTTCTTTAGAGAAAGTGCAAGAAAAAAATATACATACATTTCTTGGCAGGGTGACCACTTGTTTTCAGTTTGGCATAAGATAGTGTAAGTAATATAATGGGGGACAATCTTAAGTTTATTTTTATTTTGGTTTCTTTAAAGATAGAAGTTCTGGTTTTAGAGCTACACAGTTCTTTAACATTTTACTCTGTCATAAACTAGGACAATAATTCTTAGCCTTTTTTAGTTGTAAACTGGCTAAGAATCTGAAAAGAAAACAAAACTCCACAGATTGTCCCTTCAGCTGTTATACATTTGCACACAACTTGGATGAAATTTCAGGGAGTCATAGACATTCTACACTTACCCACGGTCTGCAAGTGAAGAATTCTTCACATATGGTGCAGGGATAATGTACTAACAGATATTAAATCAACATTACTCTCAAATTGTAAATACAACTGACCAGTCAGTAGACGCTCGTTGGATGACTACTGTCTGTCTATGCTGCACAATTCTATACTCTGAAGAATCCTGTAAGTGTAACATTAGGGTCACTGCTCACTTAAATTGCTTAAGACTTAAAACATACAGGGTGGGGGAAGCACCCTTTAACTGGTAAGCAAGACTCATTTTACCTCACCTTAGAAATATTTATAGAAAAGCTCCATAAAGCTTAGAGTAACTGAAACACCCAGTGTACTTACTTGAAAGGTTAGTTCTCTAATGAGCAGTTAGAAAAACCATCATGTGCTATATGTGAGCAATGTTCAGGATATCTGTAGGGAAGTGGACATTATTAAAACTTCAAACTATGTCTTGCCGTGATCAATGATTATTCTGTCTGCTTGCCCTACCAGGGGCATCTGTGCCGTAAGATACAGAATCTCTCTGTCTTGCCTTTTTAATGAAAATGCCAGAAGATGTTCTTTTTATTCAAGGGTATAGACTGATGATTTATTTACCAAAGCAGTAGTAGATTTCAGTGTAGGCCCCATTACTTGGTTTTATCGATCTAAAAGAATATAGGTGAACTGAAAGAGGGGTTGAGGGTTGTTAACTTAAAGTTTGAGACCCAAATCTGATCCTTAGTTTCCTGCTGCAACTCCCCTGAAGAACTGAGCTGCTTTACCCATTGTCCACAGATGGCTCATATCTACTGATAAGGCCGACACCACAGCCAAATTATTCCAGGACATTGGCATGCTTGGCATCCAAGGCCCTTTACGTCCTTCCATGGACCTGAATCCCTCTTCTTCTCTGCATATACTCTCTCATCCTCTAAACTTGCTGCATATCATTATTTCCAGGTTTTTCTTGTGCCTGGCATTCTTCCTAATTTCCACCTTTATCCACCTTTCAAAAATCCTACCCATTCTTTAAAGCCCAAATGTCACTCTGCCATGAAGCGTGATGTGGTCTCTGCCTCCAAATGAGAATACTCCCTCCTTGGAACTTAGGAAACACTCATATCTTCTGTGACACTTTGCACAGACTGCTTGTTTGAGAATTATTTTCTTATATATATTTTATCCTACTAAAGACCAAGTCCACATCTTGCTCATTTCTTTATACCTTAGTAGCATCGGGAAGAGTTTGCACCCCATAGCCCTTCGGTAAACATTTGTTGAATAAATGTAAAACCCCAGAGAAAAATAGGAGGTGCTTAGTATTGACAATACACACATATTCATATTCATACATACGAGTTGGTAGAGCATATCCTCCAACGGGAAAACCTCATTTTGGAACTGGGAAAAGGGTGGGTGGAAGGACAGTTGAGTGCTATGCCTCCTTTGCATGTTGGGCCATTCATAGTTTCAGAATTCTTGCTGCCCCATCTAACTACCACTGCCATTTGACAAGTGTCTTAGTTTTCATTTTCCCCTACCCACTGCATAATACCATTGGCGATTGCAAATGAAGTGGAAATTTAGATGTTAATGTTTGGGTATGATAATATAAAATACCAGATTCCTAAGGAGTGACTTTTTTCTCCCCCCTTTACAGGCATGTAATGAATTCACTACACATGTGATGAACCTTCTCCGAGAGCAGAGTAGAACACGTCCCATTTCCCCAAAAGAGATTGAAAGAATGGTGGGCATCATCCATCGAAAATTTAGTTCCATTCAGATGCAGCTCAAACAAAGCACTTGTGAAGCAGTTATGATTTTAAGATCAAGGTTCCTTGATGCCAGGTATGTGAGGCCACAAATCTGTTGCATGGCTTTTTTTCCTTTCCCCTTTCACTCCTTGTATATTACTTTCTGTAAAACTGGCCACTTGGTCTTAGATTCTTCTTTAATTTGGCTATAAGAGCTCTTCTCTACAATGGATAGGTAATTCGCCTCCTGGTGCCTACTCTGTGAGGCCTCCTCTTGTCTGGGAGTGGTCCTACTATTAGCTACCAATTTGAGGACTCAGAAAACAGATAGGATTAGTGCTGCTGCTAATGACTTAGGAAGACGTAGCCTTTAATTCTGATGCTAAAAAGTATTTTTAAGGATAATTTTCAGTATGTAACTCTGTTTTAACAAGGTTTGCTTTCTAAGAATTTCTCGATGTTACATTACCTGTGCCTATTATAAGACAATACTTGGAAACACTGATACTCCCAAGAAGGAAGTGGTGTTGTAGTTAATAGCAATGACCACAAAACCCCAAATACTCTTTTTCCAAATCAAGGAAGAAAGCCTATCAGTTTCTTCTGTAAGGATGAAAACTTCCCTTCTCTCTGAAACTTTCAAGTTTTGCAGGAGTTTTAATCAATTGTATATGGTGTGTTGCACCTCCTAGATGATGTAATAGAATTGTCAAGCTCCTACGGTGTGCTGCCTCTGCGGGGATGCCTCTTGGGCATTGCTGAAGCTTGTGATCAGTCTTCAGCTTTGGAAAGGAGTTTCTGTTTTGTTTTGCTTTCTCTCCCTTGCAATCTGACAGAGGCGGTAATTATCATCCAAATCTTACAATATTAAAGAAAATAACTACGTTAGCGTCTCAACTGGAAAACAAGGTGTGTGGGACAGTGTTTATGCCAGAGCTCTTCCTTAGAGCCAAACAGAGAAATGTATGCCACCTAACTCTACTACCATTCTCCTAGTTAAGGCAAGCCCTGTATCATTTTTGGTTCCTTCTTCTTCCATACTGAATTAGTCACCAGAACTTGCCAATGCTTGGTTTTCAGGATTGCCCCTATTAGCTCTTTGTTTCCACCCTTACACTCCTCGGCCCATCCTTTTGTACCTGGACTAGCCCAGTTCCCTCCTGGGTCTCCCTGTCTCCAGTCTCGGTCCCTTTCGCACTCCTCCTCTACACCCCTTCTCTGGTTCTGTACCATCCCCATGATGCCCTAAATGCTTTGCTTAAAAACCACAGTAGCTTTTCAGTGCTGGATAATTCATACACACTACTTAACCTAGCATTCAAGGCCTTACGTGACCTGTTCTGCCTCAATTACTTTTTTGTTTTTAAGATTCTTTGAAGTTTTATTCTGTTTTTTTCCTGTTTAAAAATTCCCATAGTCACTATGGAAAATTGGAAAATCTATAGAATAGAAAGATGCAGGATAAAAGACAACCACATTTTTGCTACTTAAAAAAAAAATCACCGTAAATGCTTTAGAATATTTGCTTCTGGTTTGGGGGCTTTAAAAAAATGTTCTTGTGATGGTACAATATGCATGATTTGGTTTGCTTTTTTAAAAATATACCATGAATAAATAAACATTTTTATATAGTATAAGCTCTAATTTTAAATATTTTAATAATTGAAGTCTACCAAATGGATATATGATAAATAATTTACCTAGCTATTCCTTCATTTTTTGAGCATTTAAGTTGTCCCTATTAATTTCCATGATAGTTTCTTTCTTCTCTCCTTCCTTCCTTTCTTCCTTCCTTCTACAGGTATTTACTTATGCTGAAGATTATAAAAGTAAACAAGATAGGTTAACATGTTTGCCCAAGGGGCACCTGGGTGGCTCAGCCTTTAAGCGTCTGCCTTCGGCTCTTTGGCTCAGGTCATGATCACAGGGTCCTGGGATTGAGCCCCACTTCCAGCTCCCTGCTCAGCGGGAAGCCTGCTTCTCTCTCTCCCACTCCCCCTGCTTGTGTTCCCTCTCTTGCTGTGTCTCTTTCTGTCAAATAAATAAATAAAATCTTCAAAACAAAACATATTTGCCCCAGTTGGAACTTACATTCTACTTGGGGAAATAGACAATCAACAAGTAAACAAATACAGGCATACCTCAGAGATACTGCAGATTTGGTTCTAGATCACTGCGGTAAAGCGAGTATCACAATAAAGTGAATCAAATGAATTCTTTGGCTTCCCAGTGCATATAAAAGTTATGTTTACACTGTACTATAGTCTCTTAAGTGTGCAATAGCATTATGTCTGAAAGAAAACTACATGCCTTAATTAAAAAATACTTTATTGCTAAAAAATGCTAACTGGCATCTGAGCTTCCAGCAAGTTACAATCTTTTTGCTGGTGGAGGGTCTTGCCTCAGTGTTGATGCTGCTGACTGCTCAGGGTGGTGGTTGCTGAAGGCTGGGGTGGCTGGGACAGTTTCTTAAGACAACAGTAAAGTTTGCTGCATGACTGATTCTTCACAGACAATTTCTCGGTAGCATGTGATGCCTTTCAATAGCATTTTACTCACAATAGAGCTTCTTTCAAAATTGGAGTCAGTCTTCTCAAGCCCTGCTGCTGATTTATCAACTAAGTTGATGTAATATTCTAAATCCTTTGTTGTCATTTCAACCATCTTCACGGAGTCTTCACCAGGAGTAGATTCCACCTCAAGAAATCACTTTTTGCTCATCCATAAGAAGCAACTCCTCATCTGTTCAAGTTTTATCATGGGATTGCAGCAATTCTGTCCACTTCAGGCTCCACTTCTAATCTGAGTTTTCTTGCTATTCCCACCACATCTGCAGTGACTTCCTCCACTAAAAAGTCATTATGAGTGTTATCAACTCTCAAATTCCTGTTAATGTTGGTATTTTGATCTCTTTCCATGAATCCTGAATGTTCATAATGGCCTCAGAATGGGGAATCCTTTCCAGAAGGTTTTCAATTTACTTTGCCCAGATCCAGCAGAGAAATCACCCATCTCTTGCAGCTGTATCTTCACAGAATGTATTTCTTAAATAGTAAGACTTGAAAGTCAAAATTGCTCCTTGATCCATGATGGACTTGCAGAATGGATGTTGTGTTAGTAGGCATGAAGATAAAATCTCATTGTCCATCTCCATCATTGCTCTTGGGTAACCAGGTGTATTGTCAACGAGGAGTAATATTTTGAAAGCAATCTTTTTTTTCTGAGCAGTAGGTCTTAACAGTGAGCTTTAATATATTCAATAAACCATGTCATAAACAGATGTGCTGTCATCAGGCTTTGTTGTTCCACTGATAGAGCACAGGCAGAGTAGATTTAACATAACTCTTAAGCCATCCAATTTTTGGAATGGTCAGTGAGCATTGACCAGCTGTATTAGCTCCTAACCAGAGAGCCAGCCTATTCTTTGAAGCTTTAAAGCCAGGCATTGACTTCTTCTCTCTAGCTATGAAAGTCCTAGATGGCATCTTCTTCCAATATAAGGTTGTTTTGTCTACACTGAAAATTGGTTGTTTAGTGTAGTCACCTGCATTAATGATCTTAGCTAGGTCTTCTGGGTAACTTGCTGCAGCTTCTCCATCAGCACTTGCTGCTTTACCTTGCACTTTTATATTATGGAGGTGGCTTCTTTCCTTAAACCTCATGAACCAACTTCTACTAGCTTCAGACTTTTCTTCTGCAGCTTCCACCCCTCTCTTAGCCTTCATAGAATTGAAAAGTGTTAGGGCCTTGCTCTAGATTAGGCTTTGGCTTAAGAGAGTATGTTCTGGCCTGTTTGATCTTCTTTCCAGACCACTAAAACTTCTTCCATCAGCAATAAGGTTGTTTTCACATTCTTATCATTCATGTGTTCATTGGGATAGCATTTTCAATTTCCTTCAAGAATGTTTCCTTTGTATTCACAACTTGGTTGACTGTTTGGCTCAAGAGGCCTAGTTTTTGGCCTGTTTTACCAAGCTTAATGAAGACATGCCTTCCTCACTAAGCTTAATCATTTCTAGCTTTTGATTTCAAGTGAGAGATGTGCAACTCTTCCTTTCACTTGAATACTTAGAGGACATTGTAGGATTATTAATTGACCTAATACCAATATTGTTGTGTCTCAGAGAATAGGGAGGCCTGAGGAGATGGAGAGAGACGGAGGAAGGCCGGTCAGTGGAGTAGTCCGAACACACACAACGTTTATTAAGTTTGCTGTCTTAGATGGGCACGGTTCTTGACACCCCAAAATAATCACAGTAGTAACATCAAAGATCACTGATCACAGATCACCATAATAAATATAATAATAATAGAGATGTTTGAAATATTACAAGAATTATCAGAATGTGACACAGAGACACCAAGTGAGCAAGCATTGGTAAAATGGCTCTGATAGATTTGTTCAATGCAGGACTGTCACAGACCTTCAATTTGTCACAACTGCAGTATCTGTGAAGCACAGTAAAACAAGGTATGCCTGTATGCTATAGTATTCTATTCAGTTATGCAATGAAATGTAATAGGATGGTAAGTGCTGTGAAGAAAATAAAACAAGGAAAGGGGCAAGAAAATGATGAAAAGAGGATACTATTTTAAACAGATGTTTATGGAAACTGGTGTTTCAGTGAAAATCTTTATGCATTGAAACTTTTTGATCTTTAGGATTATTTCCTAAGGATTAATTCTCAGAAATGGAATTATTAGATCAAAGTTTAAACATTTTTAGTGCTCTCATTGTATCATTAAATTGTTCTCTTATGTGATTAATACAAAATGAAATCCCTCTTGGTCTTCCCTGTTTCCTCTGAGTAGAACTACTCCCCACCCCCCAACCCCCATTGCTGGCCTTTCACAGTAAACTCCCAACCCAACCCCAACTTGGTCACCACTGATGAGTTGTCATCTGTAAGGGTGTCCAGCATGGAGCCTGGAACAGAGCGAGTGCTCGTGTTTGTTGATTTCGTGAGACCTTGCTCATCCTTCTAGGCCCAGCCTAAATTTCCCTTTTTAGGAAGCCCACTTTAATCACTCCATTGGACTGGTCCTTGCCTTCTCTTCAGTGCTAATACTACATTATTACAGTTCTCTAGACCAAACTTCATTCAGACTGCCTTTATTATAGCTTTTCAGGAACATCTCTTCTCTTCCCTAGTAAGCCACATTGCCATTGAAAACAACCAAGTCTTGAACATTTATATTCCCCATGATTCCAGCAAGCTTCTTAAATGCAATAAGCTGCAAAAGGTAATTTATTGGCTAAGAAGATGAATGACTATTTCTACTTCATACTTTTAATATCTCAAGTCAAAGAGTTAAGATAGTGTCAGAAAACAAAAAAAAATTCAAAATTGCTTTTCAACTTTGAGTATTTTAACAAAAAATATTATGTAACAGAGATACTTAAAAGTACTTCCTTCAGAAAGAAATCCTTCCTAATAATTGCTATCCTTATTTCTGCTGATACTTTCCCATTCTTGTCAACATGTGTGCTTTTTTTATTACATAATTGCATTCATAATGTATACACCTAAATGGTTTATTTTTTCGTCCAAGAAGAGAAAGTATGTTAACAAGTCAGAGTGAGCAGAGGCAGAATGGGAAGGTGGCAGAGCTTGGAGCAGAGTCCCTTCTCCTGCAGAGATCACTGTTAGTGATGTTGCGATGCTGATGGGATGCAGCCCTGGGACTGAGGCGCTGCTGCACACTGGTGTGAGGCACAGCCATTTAGAGTTTGCTAAACCCTGCAGGAAAGAAACTTAGGGGGATGCTTAATGGGCATTTTCTATGGAACGTTTTTCTAAAAAATAAAGTGTAATACCAAGTTCTGTTTTATGACTTCAAGTGAATGCAAACACTGAACTTTGGTTTCATCTCTTCCTATAGTGCCTTTCAGCCAGCCCTCTACACTGAGAAGCAGAAGTTTTTCTGCTCTAGGCAAACATGCTCGTTAGGATATATGATTTCCTTGCTCACTTCGGCTTCTCCTATGGCCACACTCACATTTTCCTGGTAATTGGACAAGTTGAAGCATGTACCAGTGCAAAACATTTAAGAATAAATTCGCATACGTGCCTCTGCTCTTCTAGTAGAAGTGTTCGAGTAGTTTGGACATAGCCAGACTGTCCGGGGTCAGGTGTTCTGTTCTGCTCATAATTTTTTTCTCTGAGGTTTTTCAGAGTTTACTAAAACCATTCCTAGGCACAGTCGATAAATGAGCTAAACTTAGCTTTGCTTTCTCAGATATGTTCCTGCTCATTCCTCCTTTCATTTCCCAAAGAAATGCTCTTGTATCAAGCCTCAGTCTTGCTGCTGGACTCCATGTTTTATTTTTATTTTTATTATTATTATTTTAAAGATCTAATTGGCTTTATTCAACCATTCAGGAACTGAGCAGCATCCATCTAACTAAGAAGGGCGCTCTGGACTCCATGTTTTAGAACTTAAAGAGTCCCGAATTCACACGCTTACATAAAATAAAATTGAGTGGAGTGGCTGGATGAGGGACAGTGAGGATTACAACAGATGGGCGCATATCTGGGGGCATAGCCATCACTCAGCTTTAGGCTACGGCTGGCTTCTGAGAATGTGAGACTCGTGTGACTGATCTTCCAAGTTTTCACAAGAAGCCAGAAACTTAGATTTTCATGGGTAGGTCATTATTTTTTTTTTTTTTTTAAGATTTTATTTATTTGACAGTGAGAGATACAGCGAGAGAGGGAACACAAGCAGGGGGAGTGGGAGAGGGAGAAGCAG